CAGTTTTAACTTCCTTTAGCTTTTGAAGTTGATTCTTGACCTGTGACTGTGAGTTTTTAATTTTCTGATGATTTTTATTGATTTTCTTTTCGTAATTTGTTTATTCTTTTGAATGTATCTTGTTTTTCCTGGACCTCTATACAAAACCATCGGGGTACTGAGGGAGATATTTTAAGCTTTTGCTTCTCCCTCGAATAGAAATGGTTTTGTTTTTAATGGCTACCGGGGCCGGTACCCCGTGAAGACGTCGGCTTCGGTGGTCGTATTTTTGTTTTATTTCATTTGTTTTGTATTGATACTTTTTTCTGAAATTTCTGCTGCTTTTTAGCGCGTTTTTTTCAAAGAAGTTTTTTCCTTTTGATCTTAATTATTACAACATTCAAAGATAATTAATTTTACATTAAATTATCTTTGAATAAATGAGTATCATACTTATAAGCTTGAGCGTAGCAGGATCCCACTTTTTAAGGGGGATGAAATTAAATTGCACAGTTACAATGGTTTTCTAATTTTCACACAGTGAAAAAAAAATTCTTAGATGTGTTGGAAAACAGCAAAAGAAAAATTTTCTTTATTTGTCTGAAATATTGAGGGGGACTTGAAGAGATTTCTAATTATTGAGGGAGACATAGCTTGAAAGAAGCACCGCCCCTCTTTTCTAACGACACCCATGCATAGCGAAAATTGTTTGATTCCCATAAATATTTCCAGAGATAAGCTGAAATAGCTATATAAAAAAAGCTAATATAACTATTGGGAGGTCATTACGACCCATTGGATATTAAAGATTGCTACTATCCTCATTATGTGAGAGTCAAAAGTCTAAAAGTAAATTGGATTTGTTTATTTAGTCTAAGTACGTTTTAGTGACCCGATTCTATAATATAAAATAACGTCAGCTCAAATTAATTAGCTCATGAAACTAGTTGCAACACTCAACAAACTTTTTAATGTAGCTGTAACTATTATTAATCTTAAAACAATTTCTTGGAAAGCTGAAATTTCCTCTGTTTTCCAAAATATTTCCAAGAGGGAACCCTCAAGACAAATAATATGTTATTCTATTCCTTTATATATTCTTTGTTCAAGGAGTGCTAAACCGATAAGACAAAAGTATCATTGAGAAGATATAATAAAGACCTCCATGAGAGATAAATGAGCAAATCTTTGAAATTAGAAAATCCAAAAGTGTTTGAAAAGAAGGAAAAGGGGAAACGTTACTCACAATTAATTCCTGACATGAGAGTGGAAACGAAAGAATATTTATGCTATCAAATATAAAGGATTCCGTTCTTGGAAATGTAATGACAGTAAGGAGCAACTGATTTCATTGACCAATGATTATACAAACCAGCTGGCACTGAAGTGCCTTTTTATTTTTTATTTACTGTAGGATACTTAACAATTTTTTTAAAAACATTTTGCACCGTAGGTCGTATTTAAAACTGACCCAGTATGAAAGAATAGAGAGCATAATTTCAAAAAACATATTAGTTGTTGTTCCCATATATAAAAGTAAGCGACATAGAAAGTATTTTATTTTTATAACCATCATTGAACAGCAGACCGAGTTTTGGGTTTACGACTACTAATGTTCTACTCTGTAGCCTAGTAATTTTGAACCGAATCCAGAAGACAAGAAAATTCATGGATCAGTACCCTCAGACGTCCCATATAGCACTCATCTTCCGAAACTATTCCCTAGGACCTCCCAAATGCGTCCCTTTCTTCCGAGGGAAGACGCGGATAAATAGGGGAACGCCGAGGGAAATTCCATTCTAACATTCCTACGGATAACGACACGTAGGAAGTCCTTCGGAACATCGCCTGCGGATATTCCTCCACCGGTCATCCGTTAGACCGTTCCTCCCTGGTTATTCCATAAGAGCATCATAATTTCTCTCATTTTTGCGCATGCGCTCTCGTACACTCACTCTGCACTTACGATTACTGGATGCTACGCTACGTATTTGAAGTGAGTTTGTCAACATTCAACAAATCATACGTATGATTTGTTATGGAAACATCGAGGATTTTGTGACCAGATATATTTAGCATGCATCAGTCGAACGGAGGGGATCGAACACATGACCTTTCGCACATGGGCCCAGAGCCCTTCCTACTAAGCTATCTTGGTCCTAAAAAGGCATGCCAATGGCACGAGGTGTTCCCAGGTGGTCATCCTTCCAAGTACTGACCGCGCTTGTTGATGCTTGACTTCGGGGATCAGACAAGAACCGGTATTTTCCTCATGGGATGGTCATTGACTGACATTGAAGATACATATCCGTCGTTGAACAGCCGATCCACTTTAGGGTTTATGACTACTAATGTGCAACTCCGTAGCCTTGTAATTTTGAAAATATCAACTACACAAGGAAACACCTGGATCAGTACTGCCAGAGGTATGATTTGTTATGGGAATATGGAGGACTTTGAGACTCGACAGATTTTACGTACATCAGTCACTATTTACTATACGGGGACTTCGGCAGGCGGGGATCGAATCCACGAACTCTCGGACATGGGCCCAGTGCCCTACAAACCGGTGATCCCTTCCCTGACATTGAAGATAGGAAAAAACTTATATTCTATCATTTATATATTATTGTTATTAATTTATTTATCTGTGTATATTTCCGTATCATGATCTGTCTCGCACCAAGTACAATCGGTAAGATGCCATATAAGTTTTAAACTTACAATTTAAAAATAAAAAGTAAAAAGTGTGTGGAGGATTGCCCGAATGTGGTTGTAAGTTAAACCTTTCAAGTTAGTCCCCTTGTGTGATTTTTTTTTTTTTATTTATTAAGTTACTATCGAAATGCCGCTCAAAAGTTACCAAAACTTGGGAATTATTTTTCGCAGATCATGACATATGGAGATCTTCCCATTTATTGATTTATTTTCAGGTTATAACTTAAGGATCAGTCTGATAATGACGTCTAGTTACCATCATGCAAACTGTTTGTAAATCTCTTAAAATATTTTACTCATATCAATATCGAATCACTTTTTCTAAAAGGGCTACAAAAAATAATAATTTAGAAAAATAAAATATATTCACAGATGGTACCCAAATTTATAGAAATAAGAGAGGGTTACGTAATTGGTGAGATTTTCGTGGTGAAATAAATTTGACCAATCAAGATTTCACATTGCCTTGGCGGTGCAACAATTGCATTCGGCGTAAAACCTTCTTCAGGGGTCCTTCCACTGCATCGGACTGCCATGCATAAATGCGCGTTTGTGAATTTGTGGAAACTATATCGTAACGGAGCATTCTCGTTACATATGATTTATATATGTAATCCCACGTAAATGCGATTCATGAATGTGCAAACAACTCGTCTTACACGTAGTTTTTAAACAGTCTCACGCTCATCTAGCGCAAACACGTAAATGACTTTTAAGCTTGCGCAAAACGCATTTACGTGGCACAGACGCGGAGAGTAAGAGAAAAATTCACCATTCATATTTTCCGAAAGCTTGCATTTCCGAATTTATATACGCGACTCCATAGACATATGCATTGAGAATGGCTCTTTAGGGAACATTGACATATCATCCTAAAATATTACGTGTACTCAACGACGATACCAATATGAGTTATATTTATGAGATGCATTTACCCTGGAAATACTCGTTAATCAGGTTCTTGCTTGCATCGTTGAAGTTTCATAAGTGATTTTTCTGTGAATTCGGAGATGCGAGCGAAAAGAATATTGTTTTTATTATTGTAATGGCTTCGAACTTTAAATATGCACAAACGTAGGCAGCTAAGAGCTTTCCCACAAGAATTATTTGCTCCAAAGCAATAACCTCTGGTTTCATTAAACCTTTTATTCAACCTCTTGTTGTGTGTTAATTTGTCCTTTAAGCATGCTGACGAGAATAATCGGAAAAAATAGGATCGCTTTTGTACAATCATGGTATGTATATAGTTTTTCATAAGAAAATTCTTCCAGTGCGACAAGGTCACCTGTATTTTATATGAATTAGAAAATCAAATTTATATGTAATTATTTTTTAATCTTTATTATTAGGTCTAAAACAGGAGCAACTTTTGGTGCTGCTGGTGGCCTAGGCTTTTTATATTTTACTGATTGGAAAGCTGTTCTTAAATATTTACCAGTTTATAACACTAAGTTTCAGAATAGTGAAAAATAATCGAGGTAATGAATTTCTTTTAATTTGTCTAAAATGTTTTCCTCTACTTATCATATTGGGATGATTTCCGTATCATATTATTTTAAAAATTGATACTGTTGACATTTAGACTATGGAATTGAGTACCTCTTGAACTAGGCATGGTACCTTTAAGCTTTTACTGTATATATAATCATCCTTTTGCCTACTATTTCTATCTTGATTTTTTCTTATTAGACACTCTTATTTCTAAGTTTTTTTTGTAGGAACATAAAAATTGCTTTAATAAGAGGGGCACCCAACTGTAAATATTAACCCTGATTTACAAGGGTGTTGCCATAACTGTACCAGCTTTCACCAACTTTAATTACCAATAAATTTTAAACTTCCAAATATTTAACAGGAAAGTGTAGTTTGCCCAGGTTGCTGCTGTCTATAGGCTTCAAATTGGTCCTCTTCTGTGATATTTATGTTATTTTTATTCTCACATGCCTTTGTATAGGCATTGCCTAAATGTGGCAATTATTTAGGTTCAGAATTATTAGATACAGAAATCTTATACAAGATACTGCTCATAATAAAGTGCATTTCCTTTTAACACTGTATGCCATCTTTTGTTGTAATATTGCTACAACTTAATAGTTCTAACTAAATTTCTCATTCTTTATTTGCATCATAGACTGCTTCATAGTTTTTTGGGCTCATATCTTAGTTATGAGTAATTGATTTATATAAATCTCTAGCATTGAGTATGCAAAATATAAATAGTGAAATATAAAATATTTATAGTGGAGTATTTATTTTAGATAAGCAATAATTTGCAGCATCTTGTGGATAATGGTGACAGTATAAAATGCATGCTATGCCTATTATTGTTAACATTGTCATTCATTCAATGCAACATCAATTTTTTCTTAAAATTTTTCAAATTAAGGGTCACATATAAAGCATTGATATAGTTGCCATTAAATAAGGTGATTATATGCATTGTTTTATTTAAACTTTTGCTCAAGGGTGGCTCTTTCAATAGATCCCTCCTTTTGTAATTTTTTTTTATTTTCTCGAGAGCCGCTGCCTAGGACTTGGGGATTATTCAGGAAATCTTCCTGAATATAGCATTTCTCTATTAGAACCCAAATTCGCTTTGTTAAGAATTTGGTATGGCCTCACCACTGTAGCAAACATACCTGTTTGCGTTACCATTAGGATTAGGGTCAAATTCCTGCTTTTATGAACTGATATGGAAGCACTAAAAATTTCATACCATAGAGCTTGTCAAAAATCTGATATCTTTTGACAATGCAGTCAAAATTATTCCTGGAATAATGTTTTAAATGTATATATACTTAAAAAAAAATATTTCAAATGAAGTTAATAGGATCTATGCATGTTTGATTTTGCCTCTCTTTCTTCATCTTCTTTTCTTGTTATATCTCCAGATGACTTAGCCTCTTTTATTATATCTCCAGATGACTTAGCCTCTTTTAATATTTCTGATTTTTTCTAATCATCACATACTGACATTATTGTCCACAATAGGCAATTCCTCAAAGTTTTTTTGGATTCATTAAATTTGCAATTTTTTTCTTCTATTTTATGAGCAGACATTCTTTTGTAGTGACACATCTATTTCTTTAGGACTGCATAGTTCAAGCTATTTCTTTCCAAGCATGGTAATCTATTTCTCATTTGTGTTTCAAGAAATGATTCATAAAATTGCTTAAGAATTCTTTCTTTATGAATTTGAATTCAAAAAATTCTTCAAAAAAAATAAAAAATAAATTTTTGATTTTTACTGGTTGAAAATTTTTTGTGATTTCACAATTTTACTTAGATTTGATTACACAAATTTTTTTCTATTAACAATCTAGCAAATGTATTGAGAAATCGGTTTTCTTTCTGCGTTATAACTGTATTGTTGTGTTGTAATTGTATACCATTGTAGGCTGTCTTATCAATTGTCAAATTTTTTTCTGTTAAATTTATAAGATAAACTGACTTAGGACAATATCTGCATGGATGCCATTCTTCAGTCCTGAGGACAAAAATCAGTCTTGAAAGAAAATCGGTAGACTATATTTCATCAATAAATATCTCTTTCCCATTTGTTTTTTACAATAAAATTTCCTCATTTTCTTAAAAGTGTAGCATATTTTTTGTTAAAAATAAAGTAAAATATTACATTTTAATGAAAATATTGTTTTTATAATTATATTACGAAATGATCAAGTAAAGATATCACACTACAATTAGAATTCATGAACAGGATTGAAACTTCAGCGTCTGCTTTCTTAAACAAAATTTGTACTATTCTATCCAAATTTGCTGGAGTTTTCATTTTCCCTCTTCGTTTTGAAATACTAGCCTAAGCTAAATTAAGATTTTTTTTTAAAAGAAAATATTTTTACAGATAAGACAAAAATATTGAATGGTGAAGTAAAAAATATATAGAATTAGGAATATGCACAAGGTTATTTTTTATTGTAATTGTTGTAAAAGATAACGTGAAAAAAGTCAAATTATTGATAAATATCTGAATCATTATCGTAAAAGGGTAAATTTTGTAGTCGGTGAGCTATAAATTTATGGTAAACAACACTAGACCCTGTTAATTGGTCAAAATATAAGTTCAGTTTTGAAATTCTTTTAGAATGGCATTCATCTAGAATAAATTTTGATACATTGATAATATTTGCACATCAAAAGTTATCGAAGTAACAGTAATATTTTTTAAAATATTATTATAAAATTGACAAAATTATTTTATTGTGATAGTCATATAGTAATTAATTAGGTTGCTGTTTTTTGCTGCTATTTCGTTTTTAATTAATATTTTAAAAATTCAAATATAAACAATTTAAAAATGTAACATATGATTCATTAATAATTAAGTCAGTGTTTTCATCATGGAAAAAAAATGGGTGAAAATTTCTCACCCTTTCTCAAAAACAGGGTGAGATTTCAAAAAGTTAAGTGAGATTTCAAAAAACTAAAAAAACACAAAATCTCTTGAAAAAAAAATCACTTCCTTAATAATAATACATTTTTAACGTCTTCTATTTTTTAAAGCATTGAATATTTTTGGTGCATCATCATAGAAGATTTTGTCTTTACAAGGCATTTGTCTACCTTACATCTACATTAGCACATAAAAAATTTGAACGTCTTACATGAAGAAACCTTACGTATGGTAAACACGTGGTTGTAGAGAAATGTGTTCTGAAAGGGGTTTCGTGGTTGTGTTCTGTTGTTCGAAAAGTTTCTGAACAATACTGGTAATTCGGGAAGCTAGATAACGGGGCAGATGTGGAAAATAATGAAAGATCCAGGAAGTAAAGTGAAACGGATTTTATTCTAAAGGGGTAAAGATTTTATTCTATTTCCAAAATGCGAGAAATTCGCGAATTTTAAAATTGATTTATAGAATGCGCAAATTTCTCGCAGTGATAATTTTTTAATGCGTGAAAAGAAAAAATATGCGAGATTATCGCGTTCTCGCGCTGTAGTGAAAACACTGATTAAGTTAACATTACATTTTCTCATTACTGAGCATAATTATTGAATTTTGAATTAATCTTGTCTAAACTTCATTTAGAGTGTTTCTAGATAATTTTTTTTCTCTTTCTTACAGGATAATTTAGTGAAAATTAATGTTCAAGCCGATATAGATAAACAAATTAAAATCTTTGTTGTATGTCTGTAACAATTTAAGTGATGTCAATAAAGAAAATTTTGATTTCTTGACTTTTTTTGTTAAGTTCTTCATCTTCATTCTAAATTGTCTTGTGCAATTAATTTTTTGGACTGCATATGACTTACAAGAAAAATGCACATACTTATACCAACATATTGAAACAAAATCCAGCTTACATTAATGAGCATGGTTGAAGACATGAGATAAGGTAAAAAATTTGCTGTTGCTGCACACCCTGGGTCAAGATATGAACTCTCAAAGTTCTAGTAAATTTATTATTAAAGTAAAAAAGCCCTATGCCTGGTTTTGTGTTCTTGGCAGAATAGTTAAGATATCTTACTTTAAACTGAGTGGCTGATGGTTCTATATCAGCTGATGGAATTTAATTTTCATTTCTTATATTGAAACACGTTTTCTTTTCCTTTGAAGTAAAAAAATATTCATTATTTTTTAAATATTTTTTTCAGTAGCTTAATAATTATAAAAATAATAATAATCAGTAAATTAAATTGCTACTAAAGTTAAAATTTTTAAAATAAAACAAAAAAAAAATATTTAAATATATAAATAAGATTTTTTAGAACTTTTTTTTAAAATTTTAGTTTAATTAAAATTTCCAATTAGGTTATTTACTTTTAAAGATAACTTTTTTCCAAGTGAAAAAAAAAAGTTTTTTCCAGAAAAAAAACTGTGTTTAAACATTTTTTAGGCATAAAATAATTAATATTAATAAATAATTTTTAAAAGGAAATAATTATGTATTCCAATTCCAAGTAAATTCATCATTTTATATTTTAAAGTATTGAAAATTTCACACTAAAATAAATTACTTTTTTGAAAGAAAAAAAACTTTTATCAAGATATGAAAAATTAAATACTATCACAAGCTGAGATGTAACCAACATCTCTGCTATAAGTCAGACATCCTAACTATTTGGCTGCAAATGCATAATATTTACCAAAGTTGTTTTTTCACTGTAATATCAAATGAAATGAGTTGAGGGTCATATCATATCTTGATCCAGTGGCAGTGAATTTTTATCCATCTATGTTTTCAACCAAGCTCTTTAATTTTATCTTTTTTAGTTCCAGTAAGAGTTTTACAGATGTGTACTTCTCTTGTAAGAATTGTACTACAATATCTTGTCGCTTTAGCACACTCTATACATTTATACTAAAAAAATGTATAGTTTAAATTCAAAGGGGGTGTCAGCTACACTACTTAGCATAAGACGATTGTAGCCTACAAACTTAATTTTTATTAGTTTGTGAATCATATTAATATATGCTTCTCTTTTGTATTTTTCTTGTATATTTTTATTATCGGGGTATATTTCAGTATTCATGTTTGATAGCACCATCTAGTTTAGCTTAAAAACAATTGTGGCAATCAATTTCTTTTAAAATAGTTTACAAGTTTCAATCATCTCGGGTCAAAATTAATAGCTTAGTCTGCTGGGTGACAATCGGGAGAAAAAATTCGTCATGTCAGCATTAATCAAAATGGATTCTTTGGGAGTAAACATGCATACTAAAGTAAATGAAAATGTAATGGTTATAAAATAAGTTTGATGATTCAGGAAAATAAAAAGTAAATACTATTTTTATTACAAGATAATAAAGAGTAATTACTTTCTCTTTAATGAATATTCATACTTGAACTTGCACCTGATATTTTTCTTGTAATTACTGTTTTATTATGATAAAAGTAAAATAATTCTGAATTTTTCACTTATAATACATGATAAATCATTAATAAATAAATGCATGATTCTAGATTTTTTACTTGATTTTGTATCTGATGCAGACTAGATAGTAACATAATGCAATATATTTATATAATAATGTGTCTCCCAACATATAGATATACACATAGTTTGCCTCTTGCAAACTCCCATCGCTAGACTTATAGCATTGGCAGTGACTATAGTTATGATGTAGAGCTAGACTAAACAATAGGAACAAGTTTTGACAGGAGTCTTCGAAAGAAATATCAGAAGCCTCCCCCCTCCCTCCAGAAATTTTGTTCTTGGCTGTTTCCATAGCAGCAAGCAACCCCAGGCTCTGGCTAAAGAGTTTAATAAATTGAAAATAGTGGTGATCATTTTAAGCAGTTTTTTTTTCTCCAAAATTCACTGGTGCAACTAAAATTTTTATTAATATGTAAATTTAATGCATTTAAATTTAAAAACAAAAAAGGCTAGAAAAACTTATAATTCATAAAACTTTAATCAAAAGCATTAAAATATACAAGTAATAACTATCAATATGCATTTATATATATATATTCAAAAATTAAAAGTATAATAAAATTTTAAATTCATAACAAAAATCACATAAGGACAATATAGTTATATTTACTTTATCACAAAATATTTTTAATAAGGTTGATAATAGTTCAGAAATGTATAGTTATAACAGGTTTTTCTAAAGTCAGCATTGTATATGCTCTCTACTATTAAAGTACTTTTTAAAAGAGCACTTGTTTATTACTCAAATAGAAACATGAGAAAGTAGTAAATCACAACCAACATTAATATGTTTAAGGCAGCAGGTTTTTAGTTTGATACATCAAACACACACACATATATATATTGTTTTGAAGTACATAATTTACATCAAAATTCAAATTTGAAAATAAAGAATGGAGGTAATAACTATATTCAATTAAAATATCTAACAATTAACAGACAATACAACTTATTTTCAGTAAGTATTTAACGGCTATTTGAACTTTCCCTGTTAGAAATATAATTACCATTTTAAGCTTTTATACTATTCAAGTCGCCCACAGTTAGAGCTCTAAAAAGCTTGCCAAAGCTGAGTAGTTTTGCAAATTTATGAGTCTTAATAAACTTACATATCTTTGCTTATAATTTTTTTTTCTTCTCAAAAACATCACTGTGTTTGAATATTTACTAAACTTGCATTCCGAATTTAACGTATGCAATTAGCATACAGATAATTAGAGTCTCCGATAGTTTCACTTTAGAATTTAAAGCTGAATTACACTAAGTATTTAAGTCATATTTTTTGTATTAAGCATATTTTTAATAGCTTTCTTAATCTTATAAATATTTTGTTAGGAAATTAATGCTAATGTTATTTTTTAAATAGAATTTTTTTTTGCTGTTTTAGTTAATAAAAATGTAAAAAAAATTTTTTTGACCTGTACAAAATTTGAAACGTTAAAACTGTTTTTCATAGTTGAGAATAATTGAAGGCTAAAGAGTTCAAAACTGAATATTAACAGCAGGATTATGGGTTGGATTTTATTTCTTCATTATTTGCCATACAGTCATAAGAAATCAGTTTGTTACTTAAATATTTTCAAGTTTAAACATTTAAAAATAAAAAGATGCATAGTAGACCCTCAATCACCTATTAGTGAATAACTTGTGCTCAATTTTGAATTATAAAAAAATAACATATGAGGAAAAAATTGAATTATTAAAAGATAATATATTATGAAATACAAGATGGTTTGAAAGAGATGATAGCGTCATTTAGATCTTTAATTGGTTGTTCTAACTACCAGAGTAAAGGTTTTTTGGTGCACCATTCTCTATGGGGGTGTGAACATATAGTTGTAAACAAAAATGTTCTTGGCTCAATCCCAAACAATGCTGCACTATAATCTCTCGTTCACATCTCCACAAGTCTAATGTAGCTTTGACTTAGAATTATGCAGTTTGTGAAACATCAATAGTACAACTGACTTTACTTCCTAATAGCGCAAATTTATCTACATATCAGCCGGAAATAATATTAGAATGAATATGTCTAAATATAAATAATATATTCCAATTATACTAGATTTAAAAGAAAATTATGGTATTAGAATATTTATTTAAAGACAAATACTTTCGTTAATATGCAGCTAGGTTGTAAAATGAACAGTGTAGAATTACTACTAGAATTTTCGTGAGTTATCTTCAGGTAGGGCCACACAAGGACATTTCATTATACCCTGCTAAAGCATACAGGAAGAATAACTAAGTCAGTATTCTTCCTTCTTGTGCTTTCCAGGGTTCACAGATTACAACAGATTGGTAACAACAAGAGCAGCATTTTTAATTCTCTGTGTCCTCTTTCTTGGTTATTAGCTTAGATAATTGAGAGTTCATTATGAAAGGAAGTGTTTTAGAACTGATGAAGTTATCAGAAAAATTTTACATTCTATAAAAAGCCACAGTTCAAAGATTGAAATTTTAGCAACAGCTAATAATTCAATGGTTTAGGAGAATAGTAAAAACAATTTTCCCATTTTTGAGATTTAAAGTAATTCAATTTAAAACTCGTGAAACTTTTTCGATTAAAATGTTTTAAATTCCAAATTGTAAGTAATGGAAATTTCAAGAAGCCCATTGTACACAATCAATGTGAAAGATTTAAAGATATTTTGAACTACACTCTTTAGAGTTTTTATAACTAAGCACCATCTAAAAAGTACATAAAATGTAGGAATCTCCTAAGATTTGTAAAAATTTAGGAGAAGCTACAAGTTTTTCAAAAGTTCCAAGTTTTTCATTAATTTGATTTATTGAGGCTGATAAAAAAACCTTTACAAATGGAGATACAATAAAACATGTCAAGTTGTGACTAATAGTCTAATTTGATTTCTATCATGAAGAATCATATTTATTAAATACAGTATAATGGAACAAAACCTTTGTGACGTGTGATATCTATCTTGTATGTTGACCATTGAAATAAATCACAGAAAATTTGAAAGAACGAAATTCCTGATTTTGTAAATTCTGGTAAAAACAACAAAAATTAAAATCTGGAAATTTGTGGAAATTTTTATATAAAATCAAAGTAATAAAACACTGATGATAAAAAAGGAAGAGTTAACTCTATCACAGATGGCATTATTTTATCCCACAGAATTATATGCTACATTTTTAAGTTGAAAAAATAAACCTTAATCAAGCTGTTTTACATTACTAAAAAAAAGTGAAAGATATTAAAAAACTAAAGTTTATACCACATTCAGTAACTTTAAATCTATATTGAAATATTAGGGGAGAGTCGGGTAGCCCCGCCCACTTAAGGAGTATTGCTTATATTTCTGTATAATATTGTGTAATAATCAATATTTTTGTATGTTTCTATTGTTTTATCATCTAAATAAATAATGCAAAAAGAATAAACCAAAAAAGAATACTTTAACCTAAAAAAATAGAAATTTAAAAAATTTGACTACTGTATTCAACATATTTTCAAAACTATTGTTTACCATTTTACCAGCTGCATAAATACTTGAAACTTTGAAAATAATCTTTTTTTAATACAACAATTAATGTCTGACGGCCCATTGGCTTGAAAAAATATTCTATACATATGAAATTGACAGTGGGCCGGGGTACCCGACACTCCCCTAAGTCTCATTTCTCTTAATTTCACACTATGTTTATTTCTTAGTCATCTTTCTTAAATTATCAGTTACAGACTCATACCTGCCAATATTGGAGAAATAAAATAACTGAGATTTTATAAGTGACATTTTTTAGGCTAGGAGTAAAGTTTTGATATATCATATATAATCATGTAAGTCAAAAAGAGCAATAACATTTAGAGAAGTAAAAAATATGTATATAAATCAATCTAAAGAAGAATTTTTAAAAATATTATTTTTAATTACTTAAACTATTAACACTCAACATACTGCAGTGCTGGCTATAGCACTATCTGTTGAGGAATAAGAGAAGTATTTTTGCCCTCAGCAAACATTTCATCCCAAAATTTTTTTTTGAAAATTTCTTCAACAAATACAGAGAAATTTGACAATAAACAGGAGAGTTGTAAAATACAGGAGTCTTCATTAAATAACAGGAGATTTGGCAGGTATGCAGACTAAACAAAGAGCTTCACTTTTGTAAGTTATAGTGATACAAAATTCTTACCAGTCCTTTCAGCTTTAAATTATACCAATTCCATAGAAAGTCACAAAAAAAGTTTGTATAATGGTGACAATTGATAAATACTATTAGATCTATAATACAATGTAATTTTAAAACTGCTAAAAATATTTAATTTTTAATGATATGTGGTTTAAATTTTAACGATTTTCATACATGAAGTGAAAAAATTATATTTTCTCATTATTGATGATTAATAAAACTGATTTCTTTTGCATAAAATCACTTACACTCTTAGCACTTCTAAAGGATTACAATAAATAAACACATAAAAATTAGTCTTAAGTATAGTATTCAAATTAATGCATTTTGTCCAATATAACAATATATTTACAATAAAAAGTGCTTAATGTAAGTAAAACATAATCTAGTTACATAGTAAAATGTGAATCAACAAATAATGAACTGTGACTAGCATTTTTTTTTTTTTTTTAATTCCAGGTGAATTCAAATGATAGATGACACAAAAATTAATATGAAAAATACTGCAATAAAATCACTATAAAAATTCAATAAGTGCACTATATACAATCAAAGAGTTTTTTGTTACAACACTAAAATATAATGGCAAATGAATAAAAAAATTCATTTAATTATTTGGTGTTTGTGCTATACTCAAACATTTTTAAAGCATAAGATACATGTAAAAATCTTTCTTATTTGTAGGCATTTTTAAACAATTAAAAATTAATAATACAATTTTATAAAAATTATATACATGAACATTTTACATCATACATAAAACATAGTTGTAAAATTCAAATAAGTGAATACAACAAAAGAAATACTGTTGCTATAAAAAATCAAAATTACTATAAAAGTAATTGTTTTAATGTCTAAACAAAAAATTAAAAAGAAACAAATTTTCTTTCGAATATGAACTAAAACAAAATAAAGAGCATGATTCATTTTAGATTTATGAGATTGCAAATAAGGATTTGAAAAATCGAAATAAACAGTAACTAAAAATATTAGAATTTTTATTAATATTAGAATTTATTTAGAATTTTAAAGATTGCAATGATTAACAAGAATTAGATTTTTGAAATGACATAATAATTTATCATTAGCAACAAAATATTAAAGTATTATATATAGATATATATTGTATATAAATATAATTAAAGGTTTCAAATACCATCATCTAAAAAAAGTTCTATATATATATTAGCCATCTATTAGCTATATATCTAATATATATATATATATTAGAGATGAGTAAGAGCCAAATATTTTGACTACAATAACCTAATACTTTTAGCATCAGATAATAATCTTAATTTACAAACTGGATGAAAAATTATAAAATTTATAATAAAATACTTAACAAAACAGTTTCCATTTATTTATATCTGGGATCATTTAACCGGATATCAAATTAACTTAAATAATTCAGCCAGCTTGTGAAAAAATATTTTAGAAATCAAATTAAAGTGAATTACTCCTCTAAATTGCTTTTAAAAATCATTTAGGTGAAGTTAATAAAAATGAATTTTTCTTCTGAAATTTTACAATTAAAACAAAACAAAAGGCTCATAATTTTTATCAAAATGATTAGAAAAAAGTTCATGAGAAAACTATAGTAAAAGAAATTTTCATAAAAAATTAATATAATTGGTTTTGTTTTAAGTATTTGTGGAAAGATTTTTTTATAAGTTGAAATTTTTTTTAAAATATGATTTGATAAAACACAAAAATATTATAACGAATAACTATGATATTCTTTGAAGAAACAAAATTAAACCTGCAACAGACAACTTTTAAAAAAATTAATGCATATTTTGAATGGACTATTTTTCAGAAGTGATAATGAAGTAAGTACATTTAATTAATTAAAATTATTTCAAATATATAACAGGGTGCGCAGCCAGAATTTTTAACAAAAGATAATCACTTTTTAAGCATTCAAAAAATATTTTTAATCACTTTCTAAAAAAAATTATAATTAGGATCGGTGCAGTAATAAAAAAATTTTTTCTAACGTTTAAAGTTCTTAACTAGTAAACATAAAATCAATAAAATTCATAATTATTTTCAAAATCTTTACGTAATCATGATAACTAGTATCTGATAATAACTAGTTTCTGATTAAATATTGCAAAGAAAATTGTGAAAATCATGAATTTTTTGTAACTCATGACAACAATCGACATAGCAAAGAAAACTCTTTTTAAAAGATAGAAAATTAAGCACTTTTTACAAACCCCGAATAAAAAAACACCTTTAAGAGCTTTTCAAAAACGTAAATAAAAAAACCACCTTTAAGCACTTTTTAAGAATGCTACGCACCATGTATAATTATTCTTTTTTTTTAAATATTAAATTCTGATTGATGTTTCAATGAAAAAATAACATAAAACTTTATCACTTCATATCAAAATAAATATAATAGAATTTATGTAAAATTAAACAGAAAGAATTAAGATGTGAAACTAGTCATCTGAATATAACACAAAAATGTAACCAAGTAACCTGAGAAACAGTAAGATTGTTACTGCTTCAGATATCGAAATCCTAAGATTGATCGAAAGAAAACTTTTCATAGACATTTATATTGAGTACAAGACAAGATAAAATAGCTCCAAAATGGAACGACTTTTAAAAACGACTCACAAATATGCCAAACTAAAAAATTGAAGAATGAGTCCAGTTACTCTAGGTAGGTTTGAAAAGTATCTGCTTCCAAAAGAATTTATTACTTGATTCATTTACAATTTACAAATAATACAATGGTTTTTGATGCTGGCATCTAGATGTTAAATTTTTAAGATAATTTTAAAATAAATTTTCTTTGTTTTTTACAAGCTGTTTTATTAACTTAACATTTTAAAATTTAATTGTAAATTAAAGGATTGATCAGATACATTGATACAAACACAACCCAAATCTAATATATATATATATATATATATATATAAATTCATAAACAAAATCTGTTGAATATAAAACATAATGTATTTTTTATAATTTACTAAATGTAGGCACAATATTTAATATACAAACTAGCTTCAAATGCCATAATTTACTATTTTATTAAATAATTTAACAATTAACATGGATTTTATTAATGTTACTAAATAAAAATTAATTTTTTAAATAGGAACTATATTTATATAAAAATTAATGAAAAGCAAATCAAATTTATCAATAAGAAAATATTAAATTAAAACAGTTTAACAAGTTAAAATAACATATTATTTTAAATAATAAAAAATATATCTAACTATTTATGTAGTTAGAGTAAATACAATCAAAAGTCTTTAAATAACTTACAATGAAACTAATTAAAGAGTTATTTCATTAAGATATGATACAACCTATCTGTAAAACAATCACAATAATTATTGAAACAATAACTTCTACTTTGCTTCATAGCAAGATATATTTAAACTATTGACTTGTAGTATAAATTGCTAAGAATTAAAGAAAATTATAAATAATACTGCTTTTCGAAATGAAGGCGTTTCTCCAGAATACAATATTAGAACCTCATGTTATTAAGTGTAGGGGTATTTACACAGAGGTAACTGTCCAATAATGCTTTACAGGAGGAGGAGGTGGTGGTATTTCTTCTTTAATTTTATTTGCACTGATTACTTGTGAGCTTGATTGATCAGCATTGGGAAATGTTCTTGTATGAGAATGAGGTAAGGTGCTTGAACCATTGTGATGAACTGTTGAGTAAGCTTTGGATGAACGACTGAATGGACGATGCAATGAACTTCTACGATCTAATGATGATGTTTTGCCTGAAAGAACATATTTTCAATTGTCAGCCCAGTTTAAAGCTGTATCTATTTCATATTGATTTATTCATCTAACATAATATATTTTAAGACAGAAACCCAATAAATAGTTTGTCCAAGATTTTAAAATTAAAACATTCAATTTAAATTTTTAAAAATTATTATAATCAAAATGAATAATAAATATGAGTTAATGATGTTAAGAATTCTATTTGTAAAGAAGTAAGATGAGAAATCATTTTTACTCTTCTTATTTTTAAGAAAATTTTTACTGTTATTTTTGTTGAGCAACGTGTTGAAATGATCAAGCCATATTACAAATGTAAATTAGTGAATAGCTCCAAATAAATTTTTATTAAAATTTGTTACTTGGTTCAGCATTATTTAATGAAATCATTAAAAAAAATGTTTTTTTAATAATTTTGAAATATAAATACAATGAGTATTGAAGCTAACCATTATTGTCAGAGGTAAATTATTATTTGGTTGTCTTGCCCTTGAATATTAATAAGTTTTTTCATAACACAAATTAAGAGCACAGAAGATTTTAAGAGTAATAATACTGAAAAGGAATAAGTAAAAAAAAAAAGTAAAAGTACAATGAAAGTTTTTTAATAAAATATGCAATTAGTTGATGGCCCCTCAGGTATAAATCTTACAACAAAAGGGAAATGGAAATTTTAAGGTGATAAAGCTTTGTGATTCTTGACTGCTCTGGGGACCCACATAAAAATACGTTATTAGAGAACAATTCCCAAGTAAGTTCAAGGATTACAGTACAGATCAGTAAATAGAAAAGTGCAAGAAGGCCATTAGCGTGCCAGTGACAAAGCTGTTAGCGCTTCACAAATAAAATTTTCTTTTGCTATAAGGGAAAAAAATATGGCAAGCATCTATCTAGCAGCAGATTTGTACACTAGAGTGCAAGAATTCTTCCCACTGAATCCAGCCTAATATACAGACATGCGAACCTGCAAGTATTTCATCAAACACGTAAAATGATTGGTATTTTCATAGTCATACGTTACGGACTAAGGCTATGTTGAAATGGATTGTGGTTGAATGAATTGTTAAAATGATAAATAGAACAATGATTAAAATCATGCTTTTTGCATAATTCATCACGAGAATCGACATAGTAAAGAAAAAAATATCTCACATTAGAAAAGAGAAAATTAAGCACTTTTTAAAAACATCCAATGTGAAAAGCCCCTTTAAGGACTTTTTAAAAAACAGAAACTATGCACTTTTTAAAAATGCTACGCACCCTGTCCTTTGCAACTAAATACAGAGCACTATTTAATGGCATTGACAGCACCAGGGTTCACTTTTACAAAAAAATAGGTTTTAAAGGGTCTGGTAACTGATTTCAGGTGTTAATACAACAGATAGGTGATTTAGATAATTATACAACAGTTTTCAAAACATTCATCATGTTTTTCTAGATTTTGAATTTTTTCAAGCAGCTATACCTACCGGCATAGTAAAAATAAAACTTTTAAAATATAACTGAAAACACTGAAACGAAACAAACACCCCAAAAAAAAAAAGAAAAAAAAAAAAATCTAAAATAAGAATTGTTAAATACAAAAACTGAGAGCTGGTTCAATTTTACATACATGTACCATTAGCAGACATTGTTTGCCTTTAAATTTTAATAACTATTTTTATTTGAATCCATTATTTTCTGTATTCTAAGACTAAATAATAATTCAAAATTACTTACCAACATCAAATAGGTTATCCTGACTTTTGGTGTTCATTTGCATGTCACGGAATAAGGGTGACATGCGAAATGCCCAATGATCAGGTCCCACAGAGTTTGCAGAAGAGGCACTACTATAGCCTGATGATGAAGAAGAGGCACAAGATAAGGAGCTCAGGCTACTTCGTTGATAAAATAATATGTAAGCATCAGCAGAAACAACTTCTGTGACAGGAACTTTTTGAACTTTGATATCATCATAGAGATACCATTGCCCACTCACAGGGTTTCTACAGTAAGCTAAAAATTTAAATTTATGTTAACATCAGAACTATATGAAAAAGGTAGTATAATATTAGTAATTTAAACAAATACATTAATTTTAAGTCTAAAAGCTATAATTTATAAAATATTACAATTAGGACACTTTTTATTTAACCATACAACAATGGGAAGAAAAAACAATTAAATTTCTCCTTAAATAGTTACGAGGATTAAATTTAACACGAATTAAAAACTACTAAAACTGCACCAAAAGTAAATACAGAGTTTTACATTATCTAGGTAAGCTGATCTAAAGTGTTATATAAACCAACACTGAATCTTAAAAGATATCAACCATTGAGAAAATATGGAAAGGTAAAGCAATGGGAGTCTGCTAAAATAGTTAGATACATATATTATTCGAACCCTTGGAATTAGTAATCGCTTTTCCAAGCATCAAGCTTTTTGCCTCAAAATCTGTTTCTTTTTATGTTAATCAATGAAAAAATAGCACAAAGAAAACAAAGTTTTACACAACTTTTCCCAGAGCTGTATTCTCACAGTTCAGCAATGATTAAGGTCCAAAGCTTAACAAAACCCAATAAAAGCAAAAAACAGCATGCAATATTATTTTATAAATGACAAAGGGATTCTAACTAATGATCCATCTGAAACTCAGGATATTTTATGCCAGCACTTTGGTTGGCATGAGTCAGGAGAAGAATTCGTGCCAATGCTGGGATTCGAACCTGGGGCATCTCATTGGGAGGAAGACAGAAGTAAGACTAGTGGCATATATAATATAAGAAGTACTGCCAAATTTAAGACAGGTCTTTATCTATGAATTGACAATAAGTCAAAAATAAAAACCAAAGTCAAAACTTTTGAGCAAGCACTAAAACCATAAAACTAATTAAATATTACTTACCAGTGTAATGACCAGCTTGCATGCTACCCTGATGATTGCATACAGCATAAAGCTCATAAACATTGTCTTCCCATCTAGTGTATAAATGAGATCGAGAACGTTTCCAGGGCGACCACAGCGCTACTGGTGCTAAAGAGTTACTTGGCACTTGCGTATTTGGATTGCTTCTTTCAGCCACATATGGATTCATATCTAATCCAGTAAGTGGGAAATTAACAACAGTTGTATTTTTCACTCTTTGACTAGAGGACTATAAAAGAATAAAATAACTAATAAGCAAAACAATAAAAAAGAATTTTAAAATAGTCAAAATATGCTTATACTAGAAACTGAAATTCTGAAGAAAAAAAGAAACAAAGAAGCTATTTAACCATTTACAGAATTCAAACCATTTAGGATTTTTCGGAAAGGCAAATAATTTTTTTTTATCTTCAAATTGATAGTTACTCACGTCTGTTAATATGAATGTTACTTAGAGGTAAAATGACTGCTAATTTCATAAAAATCAACTGACTAATACCTGCACATTCTCTTTAAGTAAATCTCCAAGTATCAAATCACTGTTTGGGAATCAATATGTACCCTCACACATAATATTGAAAAGCCAAATTTGATGTTAAAGAATGTGCCATTGATATTTATTATGAAAATAATAAAGCAAATAGGCAAATTTTATAAAGGGAATTATAATCTTACTATCCATAAAAAGTAAAATACACGAATTAAATAGACTAAACTATTTCTGATTTAAAAATAAATAAAAAATTTATGAAAATTATTTAATATAATTTTCTTTAACTAAGATTTATAATTAAATTACATATATGAATTGCGATATTGTATTTTAAGAACGCGAAACACAAATCGCGACATTGGATTTTTGAATAACGTAAGTAGGAAATGTGATGCATGATTTTTAGATCCCGTGAATACTAATAGTGACATAGGATTTTAAACTCTCGTGAATACAAATCACGATATTGATTTCAAAAACTTGTAAAAACTAATTAGGGATTGGATTTTTAAATCATAAGTACACGAATCACGATGTACAATTTTTAAATCATGTGAATATGATTCACAATGATTAACTATCAAATCAGGTAAATATGAACATCAAAGTTTAATATTAAAATCGCGAGAATATGAATCGCAATATTCTTCCTGAGTTTTTTTTATTTATTTTTGACTGCTAATTTAAAGAATTGATTTTATTTATTCTAATGATTTCATTTAATCTATACTTAAAATTCATTTTTAAAATTTTTTAACTATTTGATTCCATGATTAATTTTTAATAGGGGGTTTAGAAATTAATTATAAAAGATATAATGCAATTCCTGATTATTTTATGGCTTAATTATGAGCAAAAGAAGATCACTTATTTATTTTCGGTACTTTTAAAAAAATATTTAAAAGTTTTTAGCTGTTTATCATTATTTTGTTTATTAATATTTAGGTATTCTAAATAAAATTACAATTATAAGATGTGATGCTATCGTGATTGTTCCATAAGGCACATAAGTAATGTTATCAATATTTAATTAAATTTTTAAACCTTATTTTAAATATTTTACTTGATTTACATAAAATTTTGATTATAAAACTAGTATTTAATGCATTTGTACATAATGTATTTGTAATTGTTTTGCGTTTGAAGTGTGAAATATTATACAATTTTTAAAATTTATTATTATTGAAATGTTTCATTTTAGATTTAAAGTATGATTGCATAGATTAATTTACAATATAATGAATAATTATTTTACAGATCTTTAACAGTTTAATTAAATATCTTATAAATAATTAGTTATTCGTAATAATTGTGTTAATTCTGTTAATTATTCGGATTTGCTCTTGCAGTTAAATTTCATGCAGTGCATCAGTGGTGTGATATTGAAAAAATGTTCCTTTTCAGAAAAATTTTACCAGTGTAATGTACATCCCAGTGCGGTGTATCTCCACAAAATTATGGTAATGAAAATGAAATTGTAGTTTAGTTACATTATAAAGATACATTTAGAGAAATAATAATTCACAAAATAATAATTCAAAAGTTTTATAATTCTTAAATCACTAAAGAAAAGAGAACGTGCCTTGAGATAATATTGTTATCAAGAATTAAAATAGTTAAATTCATTTGCATTCACAAAAGTAAAGTCTAAAAATTTATCTTACTTGTCTAAATCTTTTAAGGTGTACTATAAATACATCCGGAATGCTCCACAAACTTAATGTTTTGACACAGGGTAAGCGATGATGACAATATGGGCACATTCTTGCATCTTCTACTCCAAGCTAAAATAAAAACGGTTGGATTCATTCAAAAACTTTAAGAATAAATATGCATTAAAATTTAAATTAAGACACCCTGTGGCAGAATTTTATGCAACTTTCAGTGACAAACCAGTCCACTAATATCATTCTGCAAGATACTCTTCATAATAACAAAAATATACATGTTACTAATTTAAAGAAACCGAAGCATTGTTTACAAAAAAGGAAAAAAAACTTATTTGGATAAAAGAAATTGTATATAATTTTGATTTAATTGAATATGCAATATTTATGCCTTTGTTTAGATATAAAATCAATTAAGAAATAACCAGAATTTTAAAAGCCCTGTGGAATTGTGAAAAACAATTAAAACACAGCATGGATTAACAAGGATATTAGCGCAAACCGAGCATGTCAAAGAATGATTTCTTGAATCCATGATTTGAACTTAGAGTGCCATAATATCAGTATTCTTAAAAAATTGCGAGAGTATCAATAATAACTGAACAATCAAAGACACCAAGATTTAATGAAAAAAAAAAAACCCACTTTTTTAGCAATAATCGCCAAAAAAATTGATCAAAACACGAACACTACATATATTTATGATGAATTTGATGGGAGTCATGAGAGATATTTAGTTTTAGTCAAATGTGTGATTTAAAATTTTTACATGCGTAATATAGTAAAAATATAAGATTGATTGTATTTCAACCAAATTTAAAAAAAAAAAAAAAAAAAAAAAGACGGACATTATTTTGTTATAAATCTGAATTTGAAGCGAAATCCTTACTTAAATTCTGGGAGTATCAATACAATAATAACTCTACAATTAAAGAAACCAAGTTTTTTTTTTAAAAAAAACTAAGCAATGATAACAAAACACAAACACTACATACATTTACAATGAAATCAGTGTGAGTTGCGAGAGATAAAGTGAAGAGGTAAATGCGTGATTCAAAATTTTTACGTGCGTAATATAATAAAATTATTGGATTGATTTTATCTTAACCAAATTTTAAAAAAAAGAGAAAAAAAATATTATTTTGCTATAAATCTGAATGCGTAGCAAAACTTTCCCTTATAGTCAAAATTTTACGATAATGTAAATTATGGTGCTTCTAAAAAAATGAAATAAAGAACATGATTTCTAGAGAGAGCTATTTTTTAAGCTTTCACTATTTTATTTTTTTAATATATTATCTAACTGAAATTCTAGCTAAAGCCAGTCATCATCGAATTTCTTTTTTTAAAAAAAGAATATAAAAATCACTGGCATTCCTTTCCCCGCCGGCGCACAAGAAAGGTATCTTTTGAATATAATTCTGCAGAAAAAATAACTTTTCAATAATTCTGAAGAAGAAAAAAAATCAAACCAATTCATTATTTTTTATTATTCTCAAATGAGAATAAAATAATCACCAGCGTTTCTTTCTCCTTCGATGCGCAAGAGAGTAATCTTTTATTTATAATTCTAGAGAAAAAAAATCCTTTGAAAATTTCTGCAGGAAAAAAAAAAAAAAAAAACAAATCTTTACTTCCCAAAGGAAAAGTCTTTAGCATGAACTTTAATGTTCTGCAACAATGTTGCCATGACTTTACCTATAGACAAATAATATTTGCATGTGAGTGCGATAGTCATTTTGGAATGTAAAGATGTAGTTAGCAGTTGAAGTTAATTTTCTAATAAACACTCTTCTTCTTAGGCACTACAGCCGGCAACTGGCCAAGGCAGTCTCAGCCAGTTTACCCCATTTAGATCCATTGGATGTTATATTTCTCTATCTGTTAGCTCCCAAGTCCTTTAATCACTTTTCTACCCATCTTGTTCTACGTCTTCCTCTTTTTTCCTCTGGCGTTTGAAAGATTATTGTTTTTATTTTTACACAATTTTCTCTAAATCAAAATAAATGTCCCAAGCCACCTTATTTGAGAAACCTTGATGTCATTTTCATGTTAGGTTCATTGTGTTTTGATTATAATTCACAGTTGTAACGAATTCTCCAGGTTCCTCTAACTGAACCAAAATTTTTTTTAATAATTTCTCTCGAGAGTCAGCAATTTCTATTTGTCTGACTTGTTAATTGCTCAGCATTCGCTGCCATACAAAACTATTGGCCTCACTCGTGTCTTGTAGTGTAAACACTCTATGACTTAGAAATCAACTTTAATACTTAAAACGTACCTGAGCAAATATAATCAAAACTTTCCCTTTGAATAACATAAAGAACTTCCCAAAGTTTGAGGGACAAGACTTGTAGCAAGGAGCCTATTATTCTATTTTTGAATTAAATTTCTATATATTTTTTAAAACCTTATCATCCATTTCAAGTGTAAAAGTTAATGTTTTTAATCAAATGCTAGACAATAAAGAGATATAAATAGAAAAGCAAAATACACCACCCATTTTTTTTTAACAAAGTAAATATAATTTGAAAAAAAAAAAAAAGAATATTTGAAAAATGACAATAAGGTTGTAGCTTTTAATTAAAACTTTTTATACCTCTTGTACCATAATAAATAATAGGAAAGGTATCATAAGAAAAAGACTTTAATTTAAAGTTTATTACATGGAATAGGTACCAGGGAAAAAATGTTTTAAATGTAACCAGGATATAGTAATTTTGATTAAAGTGATTATGAAAAATTACTTTTGTACCTTCTAAACACTGATTTATATATAGAAGCACAATGATGATCTGTGCAATTTTTAATAATAACTCTTAATTAAAAATTAGAAAAATTGAAATTTTTTTTAGAAAATACAGCAAACTTTGCTTACCAATTATATTGATTAAAACCAATTCATTAACACCAATTTGTATTCATTAAACAAAAAAGTTTGGTTAGCAATATTTTCATTGACTAATTTTTGAAATTATTTTAAAACTATTCATGAAAAGATAACAATGTTGAAAAAAGAAAGCACATACCCTTTCTTCATTAAAATACAAATCAAAGCACTCATATAAAGAAACTTCATCACCAGATTTCTTAAAAAGACGCGCTTCTTCAACAGATGAGTGTTCTTCAATGAACGATAATTCAGACTGTAACCTACAACAAACATAATATAACATGCAATTATCTTATTGAAAGATAGAAACAGTTTTTTTCTAAAAAAATAAGGTACATTAGTTTTTAAGTCTAAACAAAATAAATGTCTATATTAAACCAATGTGAGGTGATACTTGAAAATGTAAAACTTCTTTAGCTTCATAATTGAAAAGGATAGAAAGCTGATATATTCTAAGCCTTTAAACAAAGGTTCTTTGTCAAGAAGATAACATATAAACTGAATAAAAAAAGCAAAATCAGGTAAAAAATTCAAAATTTCTAAGAATATTAGAAAAAAAATAATGGAGAGGATGAATAAAAAAGAAAAACTTCAGTTGTTGGAAGAAGAGTGATGGTGAAGTAAAGTAAATCAGAGCAGAACACATTTCCAAGAGCAATGCAGGGCTGGAATAGAACTGAGATAATTTCTGTGCAAGTCTGCAACAGTTTCCCCCCTTACTTTCCATTTCATTTCCCCCCTAACAACTGTATTTTTTAAAACCAGGTTCTGTTTTCAACAATTATGTTTCGCGTTTCAGAAGAAAACATCCTTATTTTAACCATGTAAAACTTCAACAAATTTAAACCATGAAGCCACAAAAGTTTTTCCTTTTTAATTTTCAAGTACATTTTTTAATTAAGTTATTTTGGGATTATTTGTTTCATTGTAAGGCGAGTCAAGCTCTTTTTAATATAGCACATAATTTTTTTTTCACAGCACACTTTGAATTCGAAGTAGGAAAATCATACTTAATTATTAGCCAAAGTTCATTTAAATAAACTTATGGTTTATAAATAATTAATTTTAGAAACTTTGATTTGTTTCTCTTCACAAACTTTCTTTTTCAATTAATAAATGCAAATAATATAATGAAAAAAAAAAAAAAAAAAAAAAANAAAAAAAAAAAAAAAAAAAAAAAAAAAAAAAAAAAAAAAAAACAAACAATTTGGATCACAAATGTATAGTACTAATTTCAATATGTATTATGATTAGAGCTATTTTAAAAGGAGAATAAAAAGCTATGATTTCATTAATATCAAGAAATTATTTACAAAATATTATGAATACATTTCTATGCTTATTTGTGAACAGAGGAGGAAAATTAAAAATGTCTTCAAAAATTGCTTCCAATGAAATACCAAAATTGTTTCAAAATAAAAGCAGATATGCTCCTTTTTTCAAGCAGTGAAATAAATTATTTACTGTGAATGTATAAAAATGTTCTATACCATTTATATTGATGCAATACACTTCTATTTTTTAAAGTTAATCGCAAGCGAAAAAAGAATTTAAAAATCAAATTTTAGAAAATTTAAATATACAATACTAACATGTCTTTGACATCTTTCTTCCATTGAATGTAAAGTTTAATGTGTGGAATTCCATCAGAACTAAGTTGAAGTGCTTGATCTATAGCTGGCATATACAATGGCATATCAACAGAGGAACATATTTTCTCACTAATAGATTGTCCAGTAATAACTATAGAAAAACTTTCACTGTTCTGAAATTTTAAAACCAATATTATGTAAATAAAAAAAATAAAGAATAAGAAAGAACAAGCAAAATTAAAAAGAAAAATAATATAATTCTATGCTATATGAAAGTAAATATAAATAATTAACAACAAAGCAAAAAAAAAAAAAATTACAGAAAGAGAAAATTATGTTTATGTGAATAACATTAAGATTATGCTAAAAACTATCACAGACTTTAATTTAACAGTAATTATAAAACAGATATAGCAAAAATATAAACAATGTTGAGGTAGCATGCTTACGACGTTAAAATTTTCTTTGAACACACAATTCATGGCACTGAATATTTCATTTTCCAGCTCAGAGTAGCTAATTTCCCTTAAAACAGATAGTACAAATGGTCTCCATAACCTGAAAAAAATTAATTTGAGTATTACATTCATTGAGTATTTCAGATCAGGGATGTCCATAAGAAATCTATTTCTTCCTGGATATAGGAAGAAACAGGAAGAAAAAAAACTTGGTAAAGTGGAAGAAACTGAAAATGACTAATACAATAGTTTAGAAAAAAGTCTCATAAGAAAAACTTAAATAAATTAAATTTAGAGTTGAGTCACAATAATTTGAGGTGGACAGAACCACACAAGCCTACTTCGAATTATCAAAAACTTAAAATTTAATAAATATTTCAACAAATGGAAACAAAGCAATTTTTAAATTTCAGTATTTCATTGAAAAATATATCATACATAAAGAAAATTTACTTACATTTGAGAATCAGGAGCATTAAACCAAGTTACAATATTCATTACGTTACTGCACGGTTTAATTGTACTTTAAAATAATTGTAGAATGTTTTTTGTTAAAACACATTATTCATATATTTCAGAGTTGAACAGACAATATTGTCTTTCAACATTCAGTCATAGTCAGTAATTGTGATTAAACAATCGTAGTAAATGCTCCATGCATTGTGTGAGTTTTTGTCATTATGTGGGAGAAAGACTGATTTTTTTCACTAGCTCAGACTTATGGGAAACTCGAACAATTGAGACTCTATTGTACAATACCAGAAGGTTAAAAGCTTTTAACAACCTTTTCTTTAAAAAAATAAATATTTCCAAAATATCTATTATAGTTTTATACAGAATTTTAAAATCTACGTATCACACTATTTAAGAATGAGTCTTCGTAATTTACAATTTGATCACAGAATTTAAAGCTATTTTTAATTGTAAACAATATAATATGTGATCTGTAGTAGTGCAAATGTGTAGTATGGATATTTTAATTTAGAAGTATTATTAAATTATAATTATGGAATTTTACCATTTCTTCATATGAAATTAAGTTTAACAACTCATTTGAAAAGATGTTTTAAACAGCTTTGGAATGATAATTATTAATTAAACTAGATTGCAAATATAAAATGTATAAAATTGCTTTAATATTTGATTTTTTTAAAAGAAATTATTTTTTTATTTTCTTCCACTTTGGGTTGGAAGAAACTTGTCGCCCTCTTGTTTCAGATATTCTTGCATAGTACGCAAAACATAAACAAATATTTGCAGTTATATAAGCATTTTGAAATTTTCAAAAAATTAAATTATCTCTATGCCGAATTCTAACAACTACATTTTTACTTGTAAACAGTAGCTAAAGGAATAATAGGAACTAAAGAAATAACAGGAAACTAAAGACTAAATTAAATTATTATTATTAAATATAATGTGCTATACAATTTGAATTTCTTCAGAGCAACACTACTTAAATTATAAAAGAATTGTGCTTGAGTGAGTAATTACAAACTAAGACTGGGTTAAAATTTTAAAGCCATGTTTAACTCAAACCATGATTTTTAATCTATTTTAAGAGATCGATTTTACAATAATTGCTAATTTAAATTAAAATTTAGCTCAAAATTTAAATATAATTATTTATTGCCTGATAATTTAGAGCTCCATTTAGAATTATTTCAAACACAGCAATGAACCTAAGAAAAACATAGAAAAGTTTTATTTGTCTGATTCTGTGGTTTCACACTCATCCCAGTTTGATTGTTTAGTTTTTCTACACAGTTAATATTGTTTTAATTTTTGTTATTAGTTATTATACAAATGTAAGTATCAGCTCAAAAGCTATAAGTTTACAAACAAAGCGCTTAGCTGGAAAGCAAGCTTAGGTTTAGTTGTAATGTTTAAGCCAGCAACATTATAAATAAATAATACTCATTATCGCACATGTTTTATCATATATAATTTGTCTTTCTACTTGTTAGCAATGTGAGGTTTCTGTGATTGGTTATGGATAATTTGAGTACATTAGTATAGCATTGAAAGATATTCATGAACTTCAATGTAAATATAAGTATCAAAACAAAGAAAATATAGAGTTGCTAAATTTCAGTTTAACATTGCTGACTGTAGTGCAACACAAGCATGTGATTATCCATCTATAAAAAAGCAATAGAAAAAGTTTTTTATTTTTAAAAATTCATTTGATATTTTTTTAAAGTTAGATTACAACTTTTCTTAAACTAAAATATCCTCAAAAAAAACCTCATTTTTAAAAAAAATTTATCTTACATCTAAAAAATATTAAACTGACAAAAATTTGATTTAAATTTTTCCTAATAGTTATTTATTTTAAAATAGAGCAGATACAAATTAAAACTTATTTTAAAAACCATAAATTAAAAATATGTTTGAGAAAATTTTATTTTACTTTCATTTTCTATTTCGAAAAACATTCAACATAACAAGGTGTGAAGAAGAAACTCTTTGACGTAGGAATTAAAATCAAGATTAGGTGGATATGTAATACCAAGGGGAAAAATATTTTTCGAACATAACAAGGTTTCTGAGATATCCAGAGTATTCTGTGCAAAATGTAGAAAGTGTGCTTACATATTATAACCATCAGTTGTTTCAAGCTGATTAACAATAATCAAAACAAGTTTCTCTTGCTCTGCACTTGTATTAAGGTTTGGAAGAGGAGTTTCTATTACATATATATTTTCTTTTTCTCCAAAACAGGAAACCGGGTCTGAATTGTTAAATGTCCTCCCAAATTTACCATCAACAATTTCTGCAATCATAACCTGAAATGCAAATTTTTTTTTATAAATAAAAAAAGAGAAATTGATTTCAACACAAACACATCATATAATTCAAAATTTTCAATTTATAATTTAACAATAGTAAAAAGGAAACTTTCACAGCAGCAAGAAAAACTCTTAAATTTCAAAAAAAAAAAAAAACCCACTTTGAATAACATTTTATTTAATATGAGTGGATTGCCTCGTACAAGCTTTTGCAAACCTCTGAAAACACTCTGATCAAATACTACTAGTGATAGAGAAATGAAATCAGAAACAAAAACATACTTTTATTCCGTAAACAATTTTTTTCTCCAAATGTAGATTTAACACTTCACTTTTTTCATCACTATCATTGAACAGCTAATCCAGACAAGCATTTGACAATAAACTTACTTTTGCGGAATATTATATATATATAAATTGAATCTAATCTATGGCCTAGCTACTGTTGGGATATTTTTAAATCATTATAGTCCATGCGAGCCAGAAGTAGAATATGAACCAACCAGCCATATCAAGTTTGAAATCAAGTCACTTGATTTGGAGGCAATGCCCTGAGCCCTCTCGGGCTTAGTTGTAACACTTTTAAAATTAATGAGATAAATTAACAAATGGAGTGAAAGAAGAAACATCTAATGATCAATTCATCCACTTTTTAAACTCACAGAGTACTAGTATCTTGAAATCTGAAGTCAGAAAAGAAGTCAACTTATACAAATCAGCTGGTTTTGCCGCTGACACTTGCTTCATAACAGCTCTGGCCTATTCAACTAATATCGTGTCACATTTCAAGTCAATATCACCAAATTTAGCGTCATAGTATATACACAAACATTTTACAGCGAAAAAAGACGAGTAGATAAAACATTACGATAATTAGGAGTACTCCTAAAATTCCATATGCTTAGAAAAAACTTGAGAAAATTTAATAATCAATGCACATTACTTAATTGAGCACTTAAAATTTATTATCAGATATCAGTAATTGAAACTTTGAACTATTAAATCGGTAAACATTAGACAAATTCGAAAACAAAAAGAAGAAGAAAAAAAGAAACAGTTTAAAATTTATAAAATTGAACTTAGAGAGTTTTGACAAATTTAAGTTAATTTCAGAATTTATTGAGTCCTAAGCTGGTATCTTTAAAATAGTGAGCTGTAAAATAAATAAAACAGCATGTTTTTTTCTTTTTTTTTTTTTAGTATTATGAAGATAATATGAAATTTGGTAGGTAAGGAAAAAGTTGCAGAATGATCAGAAAATTTTTAGCAATACAAAGAAATGATACCAATAACTGCAGCTAAAACAATAATCCAATTTAAAACAATTCAAATAATCTAATTTAATCTAAAAAAATGCATTTTATTAATTAATTAACCATGATATAGTTATTATTTTTAGATACTATGCACAACTTTAGTTACACAGAAACATTGCGATGGTTAATAAAGCATGCAAAGAATATTTTAAAAAAAAGTTAATTGATACATAAATTTCATAGTTATCAGTAAATAGATTAAAAAAAATAGTTAATGGGGAAAAATGAATGTTACAAGTTAAAGCAATTGTTTTCAACAACTTCAAATTCTATAAACTATAACCAACCAAAACTCTTTCTAAATAAAACTTTCATATGTTTTTAAAAAATGAAGTCATTAACAGGCTAAGATGAACATCTTATACTGAAACTATAATAATGAAATTAGTACATTTAATGTTAAAATACCTGTTTCTTTTCAAAGCAAGAAACTTAAAGTGTGATAAATAACGCACAAGAAAAAGTTTTTTTTTATCATTATGATAAAAACTGGATACAAATCTCTAACATGAAAAACTAATTATCTTTAGCAAAAAATAAGAGCACATCACAAGCAAATTAAAAAAAATTTACTTCATTAATTTTTTTTAATTAAAATCAGTGGTTTAATTTAAACAAATAGCACCCTTCCCCTCCATGAATCCACAAATTATATCAGATAGATAGCTAAATTTATACGGCAACTTTCAATAAATTGCGTTTCAAAATAAATCACTGATTGAAACTTATGTTATAAAATGAATCACAAGAAATCTGTACACACAAAAATCTAACCTGACTATGAGAACACAGTTCTATAAATTTAAGGTGATGCATGAGATTTAATAAAAGCACACAACATAATCAGACATTTTCTACAAATGACATGCATATTTCAGTTTTTATTTTTCACTGTTTATGTTTAGTTACAATTAAACTTAATTATTTTAATGCAATATACTTTTACTTTAAAAAGCATGCATGACTTCAATTTCAAACATTGATGATAAGAGAAAGGGGTACACATAAACATTTATCATGCATCATACCTAGTTCAGATTATGAGAAGTTTTCTGTTACTTGTAATAGACATAATCAATACTGTTTCACCTCAAGGCAAACAATACTACAAGAAATTGACTTTCTATAATTATGTAATAAGATTTTGTGCAGACAAAATGATAGTGACAAAGAAAATAGATTTCCCCTATATTTTATACCACCTCCCCCCCAAAAAAGTTTTTTTTAAATATATATTTCTTTAATATAATAGACAAAATTATTTTCAGTATACTTAAATTTTATCTTTGTTCATTTATTTTTTTTTTTTTAATTTCATAAATTTACACATTAAAAATCTACTTACCTAGCATCAAAATGTATATTTTTAAATGTATATTATCAAAATGTATATACACATAGAATGTTATTGTAAGGTATATTTGTAACAGTTTCGCAAGAAATATATTTGAAGAGTTAAGAGAAAAAATATTAAATTTTAAATTAATTAAAAAATATTAATTTAAAAATATTAAATTAAGAGAAAAATATTAATAAAAAAAAAGATATTTGTATTGATATATTCAAATATAGTATTGCTTTTAACACCTGAATTTTAAAAGGCTAAAAGCAACAATTTAAACCCATAACATATGAGCGATAGGTTTAAATTGTTATATATAAGATGTGATTCTGAGGTTTAAAAAACATATATAGAGATTCATGTTGATGAACATTAAAAATTAAACATGGCAACACATTTTCTTACAATGAATGATAGCATTAAATTTTATCTATTTATGAATACATAGAGTTAGTAATATTATCAATTTTAACAAATTACAAATCACAACAAAAGTTACAATTTAATTTTGAATAAAGCTATAAACGATCTCCTTACATATCTTTACATAATTTAGTAGAGATGTTAAATAACCTAATAGTCAAATATTTTTAATTTTTTTTCTTCTTAGCTTTAAAAAATATGAATGGGATTAAATAGAACCCAGTTTCCTTATTATAAAGGTTAAAGCTTTTAATACTAATTTCTCTTTTCAATTTAATTATAACAGAGCTTATAAATTTTTAAAACTTTTAATTCCCTGAAGCTATACTACTTGAATCAGTGTGAGTGATAAAGTTTAAATTGGCAGTAACATTTTTAATTTGTCTACAATGATTAAAATAAATAAATAAAATCTAGCTTTCAAATGATTCATAATTTGAAAAATTTATCCACACATTGAAGTAAATATATCATTGAAATTTCCAGGTACACATGCTTTTTTGGAAGCTCTACTATTCCTTTATATAGTAAGTTACATCATAGATCAATAATTAAACAAAAAAAAACTTAACTTTTTAATAAAAAGGTCAATACTTAATGAATTTTATAAAAAAAAGAGCATAAAAAATTAAGATATCTTATTTCATATGAACACCAACATTAAGAATAAAAAGAAGCAGCAAATAATTACAAGATATAAAATTGAAAGATCAAGCAAACAACTTTGATTTTAATACAAAATGAGATAAATTTAAAAAAATAATAAACTAACACTAAGAGCAGAATTAAGCTATTATGCAATTGTTATTTCAAAAGGAAATGTAAAAGTAGTTATTTCTTCAATTTATTAATCAAAATGAAATTTAGATTAATATGTTTATCCACATTATAATGTTAAAATTTTTCTTTATACTTCTTAAACCTTAAAAAAAAGAAGAAAAAAAAATGTGACAAAATAAATTAACTATTTCTTAAAGAAAAATAATTACAAATAACGGTTCTGAAAAGGAACGCTTAAACAAAGCTAACTTAACAAATAGAAATAGTGCTAAATTTATTGTTCAATATTTAATTCCACTTAATAAACAGGCCCAAGAACTCAAAATAATTTATAAATGGAATTCTTTTAAAGCTAATGACTAAGACATGCCTTTCTTTTCAGTAATCAGATTTTAAGTTTATTATTATTGCACAACACTAACAAGTCTCAGAAATACATTAAGTTCATTTCTTTGGTAACAAAAGGGTTGTCATGTTTAGGTCCACATGCCTTCTCAAGTCTATTATGCAACTGCAGTTTTCAATGTACCAAAGAAAGGAAAAAATGTGATTAACAAATTAACGGGGAGTATTGAAGAAATCAAACATCTTAACATTCTATAACTATTTCATCACCAGAGTTACATATAGGTGACAAATAATGATATTTCATTAAATACTAAACATCAGAAAAAAATGTAAGGGTAATTTTAATAGCCAACAGATACATATTTCAGAACATGAGTAGATGATATTTTTTTTGTTGGATTCAATAGGAATTTGAAGAATTTAAATAGATAAAAAAGTTAGGGTCTCCAAACACTTTTGTATTTGTTTTAAAGGCCTCATAGTTTCAACTAATATTGAAACAATTAAAACCATCAGAATTAAACCTATCATGTTGATTATTTACATTTTGAATGAGAATAAAGTTAAATATAGAATGCAAAATATGTTATATAAAATATGGAAGAAATAGGCCTAGAGCCTGGTATGCAGGTTTTCATGTCAATTTCAAACTTAAGACACCATTCGTAGATTTTTTTTACAGCTTGCTTTTCAGGATTTGGGGAAGATTTTTTATGGGTTAAATTTCATTTATCAATATAAGTTGAGCAGTAATTACTAATTTTATAATCTCTAATAGGCATCCTATAGATAGATTGATAGCAACACAAAAAAAAGAGTATGAAATTTGTGCAAAAATATTAATAAAATAAATTAAACCAAAACAAAATGCATAGGAAATATATAAATAATCAGCTAAAAAGGTAGGCTAGGAAGAATCACAAACACATAGAAATGCTTTTGAAAACTCGAATAGGTAAAAGCTATTCCATATGCCTTGCTTGTAATTAAAACCCATAAAACTCAACAATTATTAACCTCTTAAAAATGTAAGCAAATAGCAACATTTATTATAATTAATTAGAATTGAAATTTAAACACAATAATTAACCACCAGTGTACTCATTTTTATATGCACTGTTCTTGACAAAAGAAACATTTACTAAAGCCAGAATAAACATGCAATGAAAATATCACCCAATATAGTTTTATTTATACATGATAATATTTCAATGTTTGATTCAACTGCTTTCGTAACAACTGACTTCTAAGACAAACACAGTCACCCTTCATTCTTAATAAATATAAAATAGCCTAAGATTAAAATTTTAAAAAATATAAATAAAATGATTTACAGATAAGGTAATTTCAGGTAATTAGATAATTTCAAAGTATATAATTTTGATTTGCTCGCAGAGAGTAGTTATTTTAGAAGGCTAAGAGAATATTCCACCATATGAAATCTTTCAACGGAAATAATTTTTAGCCGTGTTTTTTCAAAATTTGTAAATTATGTGCTATAATAACAAGGTATAGTCTAGCACAGTGTTTCCCAAACTTATGACTTTTGTGTACCCTTTCTAAATTTTTCGTAACGCTGTGTACCCCTAATAAAAAAATTAATGCATTTTTTACTATAAAAAATTTGCACAAAAGGCAAAAATCACAACTGGCTGTTGACACCACTAACAATTAACTGTTAACCCTGCAAAAAATAGCCAATAGAAAAATACCTAATCGTAAATTTTCACAGATAGCTTTATTTTTAAATAAAATTTTTTGAAATTTTCGTTTGTTGCAAGATATTTTGCATAAGAACATGTACCCCAACTAAACTGTTCCTGTACCCCTGGGGGTACGCGTACCACACTTTGGGAAACACTGGTCTAACAAATCAAATTTAATTAAATATTTGCATTGCTTAAAAGCTTTACATTTCCTTAAAAAATTGAATTTATCTGAAATAATATGCAAAAGACAAATGAAGCAGTCACAATATAATAAAAATATTCAAACTGAAAACTGAATAAAAACAAATGTATTGTATTTTACATACAAAACAGCTGAAGACTTACATTATTTACTGGAGTACCAAAAACTGTGTTTAGTTTTTCTTGTAAGTCCAACACAGTTGCTTGGGATTCAATAGTTAGTCCTACTTTATCCTGCAATAAATTAGGTATTTAAAAATAATAAAAACACATAAATATGTTTTTTCTTGAATTACTATGAGCCAAGATATACATTTAAATAGAAATTCAAATGCTATTTCCATTCAATATAAAATAATTCTTCAATCTAAAATTATGTAATTAATAATGCATTATAAATATTTTTGCATACTATCTTTTTTTAGAAATCATTATGAAAATTCAAAAACATTTAATGAATTTAGTTACATTATTGAAACTGTGCTTTGTTCTTTCATATAAATAACTCAAGACACCTAATTCAGTGTTTAACTAATAAAGTAACAAAAGAAGAATACCTGAATTAGTAACCATCTTTCTAGTTTGATGGAAAGTATAAATATTTTAAAAAAATGTTGTAGGGGTGCATAACCTTTTTGAGTGATGAAGGACCACTTGTACAGTAAATTGACTAACGAAGGGATATAAGCATATTTAGTCATATTGGTGGCAAATATGACAATTTTTAAATAAATATTAGTGTTCGAAGCACTAAATTATTTATCAAAAAATTAGTACTATATATGGAGAAAATTGAATACTTTTGGTTATTAAAATTCATTAAAAATGATGCTTTCTCTAAAAAAAATTTCCCTTTCATAAATAATTGTTTTATGAAGAAAAAAAATCAACACCTAAATATTGAGGGAAAAAATATAAATTCTATAAAAAAAAAAAAAAAAAAAAAATACAGCGCTTGCAGAACAAATGTGCAATATATATATATATATATTTAATTAAAGAAAGTTTATAGGGTTTAAATAAAAACTAAAAATTAAAACAAATCGTAGTACAAAATAAGATTCAATATTTATTTGGTATTATGCATCAGATATAATTTCCATTTTTTGTCTTATTCAAGATTTAATAAATTTTAAATAAAAAACATTTTCTTTTTCATTTTTTTCCAAAAATAAAAAAGAAGTCGCTGCAAAATATTAAATATATATATATAAATAAATAAATTACAAAATATGATTAGTTTAAAAATTCACATTTCCCTCCAGTTTCAAAATTTTCTGGTTGCAATAAGATTGTTTTACAATATCCTGATTATAAACACCATGTACAAATACATGGTACTGACTGTTGAAAAAATTGAAACATGCACAAATAAATAGCATGAAAAAGCGATTAGTTAAATGCATCATTAGACTTGCATGCTTTAATAACATCACAGTTAAAGTAACAAAATTGTCAACATAATGAGGAAAAAAGTTGCAATAATAGCAAAAATTACAGGTTGATAAGCGATTAAATCAGCAAAGACAAAGTGAGTCCTAAATCACATAGAAAAGCATGTAATATATGCCTTTAAAAAAAGAAGAAAAAATTAATATTTACAGCAAATACGACATTAAAAAATAAGGACAAATACATTTAATTGTAACAGCTGGCAGTTACGACATGCGTACATTAAAGCCTCGAAACAAAGCTTTGCGAGGCAGCATCTATGTGACCGGCATTAAAAGGTTGCCGGTAATGTGGAGTTTGTAAATCAGTTAAAGATAAACCATAAAAATAAGATCAAAAAAAACAAAATAGGGAGTTGTAAATTACATAAATATTAATCATATATCGTGATGGTAATACATCACGTCAATATGAATCATAATATGTGATTCAAAGACCATTTTGACTCTATATGTGGTGTCTATTTTATAAATTACTTTGATAGGTCTTTACTTGTTCATAAAATCATATTGTCATAGATAAGAAAAATCAGAGCTTTCTCAGGAGAAAGCTGATTTTATAATTTTTCTTAAAAAATACAGGAATTTTTCAGAAACACAATAACTCCTGTTAATTTTGAGAAGAAAAAAAAAGTGTCTGCAAAATTCAATAACTTTTTCTGGTCTATCCGTGCACTGCTTTCATTGATATTATTTAACTCTGTTAAGAACTATTTAGAAATCAGAATATACACAGATACCTTAAGTATTGTTTAATGAGAAACTTAAAATGTACTTATTGCTTACAAAGTAATAATATATTCATGACTAATTATTTTTTTCGTTTTAAAATTTTCCTATTTAAGGTTCTCCATTTTTGATTTAGATGTGATTACATTTTTTAATTCCATCCATAAATGCTTAAAGAAAATCAAAGTAATAATAACTTTTCTTAATTGTTATACTTACTATTTTGATATCTTCATTTCTCTTAACAATGTATAAGACAATTGGAATCTTTTGGTAATGTGGAACTGGTAAGGAAACACACAAATACGGGTCAAATGTATTACTAAAATGACCACACCCTAAACAACAAAGTGATGAACGAAACTGGCCCTGAAAGAGGTCGTGTATGAAGCTACTATTACATCTTAGGTGATTTGCCAAAGTTTCTGCAGCGATATCTTCATCTGATCGACCAAGATTACCCTGAAAAAATTATACACTAATAACAGTAAAAATTCAAAAAAAGCAGTAGAAGTAAACACAATTTTTTATACATATAAACCCATATCTGAAATCATTTTAAGTGAAAAAAAAAAACTTTATAACATTTAAGAAAATAATATATAAGAAATAATCTTGCTTGGAATGCAAGTTAAAGCAATCCCTAAAACATTTGATTTTATAAACACGCTGTGCCCTCTGACATGATACATAACAGCACATTAAAAAATATTATACATATTAAATATTTTCCACTTGTAATATCATGCTTCCAAATAAATTTTCATATTATATTTATTTCAATTTAAATAAAAATCAGAAAGGAATCTCCCTTCAGGCAGAACTTAAGGCAGCTGGTCTTGACATCAATGAAAGATACCCTTTTAACAATAGAATACTACATTTTACTGAGTTGATTAAAAGCGGGAGTTCCGTACTTAGTTGAATTTCAGGATCAGAGATATAAGATAATGAACAACTGATGATTTTAGCGATCAATTCTGTAAATGATTATTCAAATGTACTTATGGCATTTATTGCCAATAGTTAAAATAAGATAAAGTTTCAAACTTAAATTTTGAATCTATCAAAAACAATATTTTCCTTTAAATACAGTAATTTCAATTTTCCTTCATTTTATTTAATTTTTTAGATAGCAATAACAAAATGAAAAGGTTAAAGTCTAAAAGAAATAAGCAATGGAATGGGAAATGCAAGTTAAATGTATTATTTTAATACATGAAAAAAATATGACAGCTTATCATAAATTTTTTTTTCTTCACAACATATACTTGAAAATTATATTTTAAATAATCTATAACTAATTTTAATACTCTATTATTTTAATCAAATAATTCATTGAACTAATTCAATTTGACTAATTAATTAATTGTAATTCCATTCTTAAAATAACATTCAGAAGGAAATATTTCCATATTGGTACCTGTCGATAAAAACTGAAATACTCACTCGGTGTCAAAACTGCATTCTTGAACTTAGTTTTTGTTGGTCTTGTACACAAATTTAAAATTACATACATAGTGGTTTTATGAGAGCTGGCTATGGCCTGAATCTAAGATGGTTTTTGTCTGCTAACCTAGCTGTGACAAAAACTTCAAACATTTAGTTGCAGATAAAGATACCAAAATTTCTCCCTTTTGAAAATCGAAAGATTTTAAAACATAATCTATTAATAAGCTTTCAAGTATTAACTTATGCTCTCCATATAAAAAAATAAAAATTACTTTAAACAAAATTTATGGGATATTTATTTATGCATTGTTATATATTTTTGTCAACTACAATTACCAAGGTTGCAGGTTTGGACGTCGGAAACCGACTTTGGACCGGAGACGTGAGTTTTACTGTCTAAAACCTTGACCATTAGTAAAAATTTGATAGGCATAACCACTGCACACCTATTAATTACATATATTTATATTAATTTGATACTTTTTATAGAATTTGCCTTAACTTACTAAAGGAGAATAATAAATAGGAAAATATTTATAACTTCAGAAGCTCGTAAATTCATTGAACAACAAAAGTGAATACCTTATTCTTCAAATATGAATAAATGTGCTTTTAGCACTGATAAATTATATTTTTGTTTGTTTAAGGATGAATAATGGAATATTAAAAATAATAATGAACTTTCTTAATAAAACAAAAACTTGTTTTCATTTTGTTTCTTGTTCAAAAATTAAACTTTTTTTTAAAAATTATTATATTTTTTAATTGCAACATAATTTGAATAAAAGTGTTTTGGACAGTTTAAGAGAGTTTCGGACAGAGGGGTACTGGACAGGATGGCTTAAACCCTGGATTCATCCATTCAGTCCTAAGCCTTACAACTCAGTCAAGGTAATTTTAATTTCCAAAGAATAAATAATCTGATGTGCCTATAAGTCATACTTTTTGAGTGTATATATATCAGTGTTTTCACTACAGAGCGGGAACGTGCAAATCTCGCATATTTTTTTCTTTTCTCGCATTAAAAAATGATTACCGCGAGAAATTCGTGCATTCTATAAATCAATTTCAAAATTAGCACATTTCTCGCATTTTGGAAAAAGCTTCGATTTACGGCGTTTAAAATAAAATCCGTTTCACTTTTCTTCCTGGATCTTTCATGCGTTTCAACATTTGTCCCGTTATCTAGCTTCCCTATTTATCAGTATTGTTCAGAACCTTTTCGAACAACAGAACACAACCCCTCCGAACCCATTTCTCTGCAACCACGTGTTTACTTAGGTAAGGTTTTTTCATGTAAGACGTTCAAATTTTTTATGCACTAATGTAAAATGGATAAATACCTAGTAAAGGCAAAATCTTCTATGATAATGCAGCAAAAATATTCAAAGCTTTAAAAAATAGAGGACGTTAAAAATGTATTATAATAAAAAAAAGTTTTTTTTTCAAGTCTATTTGTGTTTTTTTAGTTTTTAGAAATCTCACTTAACTTTCTGAATCTCACCCTGTTTTTGAGAAAGGGTGAGAAATTCTCACCCATTTTTTTTCTATGATGAAAACACTGTATATATAATTTATATATTTTTTTTTAGGTTTGAAGAGGACCACAAACCAGCAGTTGTCAAAACTATTAGATTATTTTGGCGTAGGTACTGATACAGAAATATTACCAAATTTTTAATAATTTTGAACATATTTTACCTTTGACTTTTTATATTTTTGCTTTGGAGCAATATTCAAATCTTCATGCACTTTATCTAACAACCATAATAAAAACTCTTGAGCATCATGTTGATCACTCCCATCATACTGATCTCCATATTTGGCAACTAAAGTTTTAAATTTGTTTGATATGTTAGGTATGTATTGACAAGTCCACAAAGAGGAAAGTACAGTTCCCAATTGATCAGTCACCTCACCCCGAGTACCATATTTCTTAGAATGAGCTTTATTTCTTCGAAGCAAATCCATTTTAAAATTACCCAAAACAAAATATTCAGCAAAGGAATCAGTATTACTTAAGCACTGAATAACAGCATTCATGAAACAAGTATTTCCATGATTTTTTATGCCACAAACAGCAGGATTCTTATTTTTAAAATATTCGTGATAATCAAATGAATAGAATGCAAAATCATTGCAGTTTCTAATATCCGAATTGGATGTTGACATTGCAGGAAATGTAGGAGTTCGTGGAATGGATCTGGAACTCTTTTGGGAGCTTTCACTGGTAAAAAATGAACTGCTCCGAAAGAATTTTCGAATAAAACTGTTTGATTTTTTGTCTTGAACATATGATTTGGAAAAATCATCACCCTTGCCATATTGATTTCGATGGTTTTCAGAAGTAAAAGGCACGTCAACTTTAATATATTTGATTCGACTGCGTTTTTTTCTGACACTCATCCATCGGGGTAAAGTAAAGAATACTTGTTTATCAATACTTCCATTGAGTGCATCGCTTCGTCCAGAGGAATGTCTTTTTTTCTGACTTACGTCGGCCAAATCTCCATCGGAAACAGAACGACCACAATCTGCATATTGCGAATTTGACATGTCAATTGAATGACATAATCCAAAACAAATTTGAGCAATACAAGCACACTGATAAAAAGTTAAATATTGTGAGATATGGCGGAAACAGGGAAAAAGAAATCATCTCATAATCGAGAGGAAAATAATTTTCACCTCATTAACTACAGCTCAAGGCTGTAAGCCACACCTAATCAAAAATTTCAGAAAAGATTGCAAAACAATTGTATACAATCACAATCATAAAACATGCAGATGATAGATGCTTGCAGTTACAAAACAAATGTGTCATTGCCAAATATGCATTTAAATATCTATTGTGATCTAATTATTAATTAAAGACTTCTAAAATATAATTTAAACATTTGTAGAATTTCAAAACATAAAATAATCAGGTGTAATAGAAGTAGTTTTAAAAAAATCAATAAAATAAACAAAGAAACTAGTTGAAGGCTCAGCTAATAGAGATTTCCAAAATGCTTTTCAGCAATTTACCTTAGTGAGAATGGCAACTGTTTAAATTTGACCTGAAATGAAAATAAAAACATCTTTTATTTTTTCCCCCTTCTCGTATCCGTTAAAAATAAAAAATATTGTTTCATTTTTATAATTAAAACTATCTATTTTTGTAATTGATTCAATAAAACCTCAGCTTTGTTTTGCATTAGTAACTTCTAATTTTGGAAATAAAGTATGAACAAAAGCTGTACAATTATTAATGTTAAAAAATATACATTAGAAATCTGAATTTTATTCAATTTATGTTAAATCTTTTAACTGTTTGGAACTTGAGCTTTTTAAAGAAATACCATTGTTTGTAGCAAATACTTTCAATCAAATATCTATGGCTGACTATTACTATTTAATTTTTTGAAATGCCCAAGATTCTAAAGAAATAATGTACTTTGCACAACTACTGTGATAAAATGTTCTCTTGTTTTTATCAATTAACTAGTAACATGTGGCATTTACTTTTCATTTCTCATTATGCTGTGGAAATATCTTAAACATAAAAAAAAAAATATTCTCATACCGCTATGATTTATGAAAACTATATGTCATTTTAAAATTGCTTAAAGATTCCTATAAATGTAAATTTTCCAATTTTATACGTAAACATTGTTTTAACATCTTAAGGTTCGTATTATAAAAGAAAATTTATGAAACTTTTGCCATGATGAGCAATTTTTTATTAGTAGTATTTTATAAATGTTAATATTTGCATTAATCGGCTGCCACTTAAATTCAACTTTGTTATGAATTTTATATGATTATTTGCTGCACTTATTTTGCTTAGAAATTAAAGATACTAAAACTTTAAATAAACTTGAATTTATATCTTTTTATTTCTGTAATTTTTTTTTCAGGGCACAATTTTCATCTACGATTAGTTTTGAATTGAATCATAAAGTATGCAAGTACACTTCATGGCATCTCGTCCAAAAGAACTGAAGTATTTTTTTTATGTATATTATTTAAGAAAGTATGTAGTGAATATTTCTGTATTGTGAACTGTTGTGCCAACTACAATCGCCAAGGTGCCAAATAATTTTAAACTAGCAATTTAAAAAAAAATAATAAAAATGCATGTAGATATTTGCCCGGGGATGGCTCCAAGTTATGCTTTTCGAGTCGGTCCCTTTCTGTGTTTCTGTTTTAGTTTCTCCTAGCTGCTGCCCGGAAGTTACTAAGACTTGGCTATTATTCTGCCACAGATCACTCTCCCTCAAAAATCTCCCCAATATGTAAAATCACATGTACATTACTACCTAAATGCTGAAAATAACTAATTGCATGAACAAGGTGGGACGGAAATTATGGCAGTTTTAAAGAAATTTTAGGGCGGTTTTTAAAAAATAAAAAAATATGTACTAAGAAATTTTTGACAGTTTCTTTTTGAGTTATTTATTTCAAGGAATGAACGTACAATGCATAAATTTTTTAACATTTTAAAATAGCCTTCAGATATTTCAACGGTGAAAAATATCATTTTTCTAGATTTTCGTCCTTATTTTCTTTAACAATTGAACGTCGGAAACATCTCAGATCATTAATAACATGCATGAAAATAAAAGGTTGTCATTTGCGAATGATAAATAGATATTTATTTTAAACAACTTAAGAGTGTTTTTTTTTTATTAACTCAAAAAAATTTGGTTACTTGACTTAAAGACTATGTAAAATCTTGTGGCTAAATTAAAAATGTACTGCTTAATTGAAAAAACAGGTATAAGTGCTTCAGAACAGATTTCTGTAAAAGTTGCTTGAATACAATTTTCATCCTATTCCTCTAAATGCTAAAATCAGAATTTGAGGAAACTAATAAAACAAAATTTATTTCTGAATTTTTTTTTTTTTTTTTACCATATGTTGCCTATTATACAGTTTGGAACTGCCACCCACTTAGTTTGAATTGGGCTTGACTGTTCACAGGTCACTTCTTGCTGACGAGATTGTGGTGTTCAAGGTCAAGAGTGATCCGGGCTCATATACTTGAGAGTCAGCTTAGCTTGGTGCTCATGCTCAGTGAAATTGCTTTGCACGATAAGGCTTAGAGTGGTTAGTTATTTAAATCCTTGTCATACAATGACAACTCAATTTGAAAATGAAGATTTAATAACGCTCTTCAAAAATTCTTCATAGTTTTTACTCCTTTTTTAAATATTTTTTGTTTAAATATTTTTTGTTTAAATATATATTTGTTAGTGTCTCCAATTTTTTGCTATTTTTTCATAGTTTAATTTATACAAAATCTTTCGTAACTTTCACTTAAAATGTATTTTTTTTATGTTCCAATCTGCTTTTATTTTATAGCTTACTGGAAATTCAAAGTTTGATGTGATGTTCAGTGTTTTTAAACAGTCAACTTTTTCTAGAAGGATAAAAACCAGCCTTGGTTTGAATTTTCTTTCTCATATCTTATTTTTATTTACATATAAAAGTTTTACATATATTTATAATTAATTTGTATTATTTAGAACTGATTCTTGTTATAAAGTTTTAAAATATTTTTCTTATATCTATTATTGAAACAAGCAACAAAGTTTCATACTTGAATAGCCTCCATTGTAATTCTCATTTTTTTTATTGATTTATTTTTAAGAGTTGACAATACTAATTCATGAAAAAAGTAAAGTATGTTTTGTATATAACCTATAATTCAAAACAAATTCATAACATAAATTTTTAATGTTCACACAGATAAATGAAAAGCAGTAATGTAAAATATTTTCTATCTTTTAATCCATATTATTTATTTTTATTAATCAAGGATTAAAGCAAGCAACTTGAAAAAAACATATATAAGGTAAATAAATTGACCTACTATAGTTTCGGTTCTATAAAGAAGAACCTTCCGTGGTGTGCAAACATCAAATAAAAGTAAAATAGTAAAGAGACAAAAAGACCTGTAAAGTGGTTTAACCAACAAGGACAAAGGAACAAGCTTGAACAAAGAAATAATAATGGGGAGATAAGAAACAGGTGTGAGGAGATTTTGCAAGAGCCCCAGGAAGCAACACTTTAAATTAATATGAACTTCCAAATAATAGAAAAGGGTAGGATATTTGAAAGATCATTATCTAAATTATTGGAATATTTCAAAATAAATTATGATTGTACAGAAGGATTGTCCAAATCTATGACAAGAATTCAAATTTCTATTAATTTTAAAGTGTAGCTATTTTAAATTCTTTAATTTATATGGCTCATAATTTGAAGAAATTTTATTCATTTATACTTTGTGTAACCATTAAAATTTGATGAAATAAGATTGAATAAAAAGTATATCAATTTCTCATTTGTTAAAATTGTAATTTATAATTTTTTAAAAAGCAGAATTTGCCATAACCGTGTTATGTATATATATGCCTCTTACATGAACTTACTTTTTTCTGATAAAATTTCAGATATTTTTCCATGAAGCCACAATCACTTTGTTACATGTCTCACTTTTACTTATATAATTTAGTACTTATGTTTGTTATGATGTTTTTCTTATGGTGTATATATATTTATAAAATTTTTTACTTAATGTAGCATTTGATTTTGATGTAGCATTTGATTTACTTAATGTTTTGGAAGTTAACTCTTGATTTTTGAAAAATTTCTCCTGATTTTTTAGTTTGGTGAATTAGCATACCTGTAATAATATTTTTCAAGTTATATCTGTCATCAGCATTTTGATTTTTCAATTTGTTCTTAAGATTTTTTTATTTTGATAAAGTGCAATAATTGTTTTCATCATTCAGAACTATTTTTTCTTTTTTCTATTTTTTTGCTTGGAAATAATTTCTTATAATTGAAATAAAAATATTTTTCTTCAGTGCTTATCTTCAGATTTTAAAAATAAATTTGCTCTGATTAAATATGAATATTTAAATGTTTAAATGTACATTTCTGCTCTTAATCATAAATTTTTATTGTATTGTTGTGTATCAATTAAATTTCTTTTTTCTATTCTTTATAAAAAATTTGATTAAAAAAAAAATAGAAATATTATTTCTGATTTTTTTATATTTAAATGTGCCCCATGGCTGAATCACGGCAAAATTGTTGCAAAACATTACAAAGCTCTTGCAGAAAATTTTTTATTTTGAAATGTAAAAAATTTCAGTTTTCTTTTCTACAGAAATTTACCCGTAACATTTGAATCGTGCATTTAGATAATAAATTTTTGCCGATAGTATCATGAATCGATATAATGTTTGGATTGTATATTCGGCGGTTATTAATATTGATTTTCATGTGTTTTTAAATATCCCGATATATTTCAAACAATATGGAAAATTCAAATCCTGCATACTTTTTTTTTCTATCGATTTTTTTGGCTGTTAGTGCTATTGATTTCTCCATAGTTTTTAAATCCGATACTTTTTAAATGATATTATTAATTACAACAACCTAATTTCGAAACGAAACACGCATTTGAGTTACCCTTTTTTGAGGAGTCCGATTCACGTGATTTCATGATCAATCTTTTTTTCAGCAATTACTACTAAGGATTTCATGATTTTTAATTGCTTTTTTTATTGTGATGATTATTTACAAACTGCGAAAATAATATGCGAGACCTCCAACAAGATGCGAAAATAGCACTCATAATATTGGAACAAAATAATTATTACAGGTTTAATTAAAAGAATTATAAATAGTTTATTTTTTTTCATAAACACAGCGCTTTTGTTATTTTAAATTAGTAATATCTATGTTTGTTATTATTAAAAGTATCTTGCAGAAAGATATTAGTGCTAGAGAATTTTTTCGCAGATAGGTGGAAAAAATTCTGCTGCTGGGTAAATGTGTATTTTATGTACATGCGTAACTTAACTGAGAATTCTTGAATTTAAATTTGAATATTTTCTGATAATTTATGTTTTTTTTTTTTTCAGGATACACCCATACTGCAGTTTCAGAATTGTTATTTTACTTTTTAAAAACGAGTGAATAATAAAAAAAATTAAAACTTACTTAAAAAGAATTTTGGTTCAATATTTCTATCTCTAATGAGTAACATATTAATAGCTTTTCTTTCTGTTTAAAGTGGGCGCTTTATCTATATGTGTATTGGCTGTTTATAAATGCTTTAATTTGATTATTAATTGTTTTATGAAAATCTGGGGTTACAGTTTCTTAATTTCACAGCAATTACTGATTTTAACTATTTTCTTTTTCACATTTATTAAATATTATTTTTAGTCCAGATTGTAGTGTAAAAGTTTTTAGCGTTAAATAACTTTGTAATGTTATAGTATTTTCAATATCTCTGATAAAGATTTTACTACAACTAATAAATTCCCAAAGTGTAAAATCTTACTTAAAGTCATTTTTCTTTTTTTTTTTAATCAAAACTTTCATTTTAGCACTTTAAATAAATAAATAATTTTTCCAACATTGGGCAAAAGTAACATCTGGCTAGAATACTCATTTTATGTAATTGAGTTTTTCTTTAAAATATATGGCAATGTTTTGTTTCTTAAATTATTTTTTTCTCTATTGATCTTGAATCCAGATTAATGTTAAAGCTAGATAGATGTTGATGTTAGATTAGATGTTGATAATTATTGATGCTAGATTAATGTTGAAACTTAAATCACAACGAAATTGTTTTTCTAAACATTGTTTTTAGGGAAATAATACTCTGCTATAAAATATTTGTACCTTTTTGATCATAATCTTCTAGGATGTGTTTTTAGAGAATTTGAATGAGAGCTTGATTGTTAAAGGGTTGCATTGCATATTTATTATAAACATGGTTTTTAGAAACATAATATCTCTTATTATTGTATGTCTATTAATATTAGATAGTTTAAGCAATAGTTTTATTGTTAGATAGTTTAAGCAGCTGTTATATAGCTTTAGACTACTGTTTTTACCTTTTGACTGGATCTAGAAAATCTATATATATTGTATTTATCTTAATTTTATTAAATACATATTTTGAACATAAATACATTTTAAATTTATACTTTTTATAATAGTATTTTTCTTTCCAGCATATGAAGAAAAAATTTTTTACCTGCAAAAATACCTACTAAAAACCTGAATATTAATTTATTATCAAACCTTATGATCATTATTAACTATTATGGAAGTAACTTTAAAAATATATAACCTAAAGTTTAGGTTTTTAATATGATTATCTCTTATAATTCTGATTTGAAATTCTTAATCAAAATATTTGAATTAATCAGATAAAATGCAATATTTAAATTACGCTTGCATGCATATATCTATTTTGTTATTGTAAATTTTATTGGATCACAGAATTAATAGTTTTTGAAACCTGATGATTCTATTTAATAAAAACCTATACCTCTAGGTTGTTCACATCTTGTTTATAGTGTTTTATCTGTTAATGTTTTATAATGTTAATTTGCTACATACTACAGAGAGAGTTTTATTAATGTTACTATGACAAAATGTATTGTAAATATTTCAATGGTATTCATGCATGGGAAAATATTTCATCTTGTGACATGATTATCTTTAATTTTATCTATTTTCTAAAAAAGAGCAACCGAAATTTGGTTTTTAAAGTAAAACACACAATTATGGATTACCTGAGCTTTGTCTGCTTTAAAAATATTTTTCTTATTTGTAATGATATTTTAAAACTCTATATTAGTAGTTAATTATTTTGATCTCAATGAGGGAAGAGCTAATGTGGAAAGCTAGAATATTTTTGGTATTTATCCTTCATGATTTCTCCTTACATGTTGACTATTTTATCCTATATTTTGTCTCCATAAATTAAAACTATTTTATTCATTACATTTTATTACAAGGTTGTTATTAAAGAAAATGGTTATTACATATTTTAATAATTACTTTTGGTACCTTTTAAGTAAGGGTATTAACTTAGAATTTTTGTTAAGTAGAAATTTTTTTTAAAAAATGCATTTTTATTCTAAATGTCTATTACCCTTGAACTTTTATTATTTTTATAGCAGTTGTAAAATGTGTATTTCTTAAATTTTATTGATGCCTCTACCTCTTAGCTTGCATTTAATATTAATCTGTTAAACTACTCTATGAAATGAA